TTCTTGGTACTCTCCTCTTTCATCCTCATTAAGAGGTTCTTTAATTCCTCCTCACTTTCTGCCATTAGAGGGGTATCATCTGCATATCGGAGGTTGTGGATATTTCTTCCAGCAATCTTAATTCTGGCTTGGGATTCCTCCAGTCCAGCCTTACGAATGATTATTGTGCATATAAGTTAAATAAGCAGGGGGACAATATACAGCCTTGTCATACTCCTTTCCCGATTTTGAACCAATCAGTTGTTCCATATCCAGTTCTAACTGTTGCTTCCTGTCTCACGTATAGGTTTCTCATGAGGTAGATAAGGTGTTCAGGCACCCCCAGTTCTTTAAGAACTTTCCATAGTTTGCTGTTGTCCACACAGTCAAAGGCTTTTGTGTAGTTAACGAAGCAGCCAGCTTTACATATCCATATATTACCTATTATCTATTTAAACAGCTAGGCCAAAAATGCAACCCAGATTTTTAAAAAGTAGTTGGAAATGGAGTGTGGTATTTAATTCTGTTAATCTGCAACCCTTAAAAATCACTGAGACAACTGAAAGCAAGAAATGTAGGAACATCCTAAGTATAATGGGCCAAATTAAATAATAAAAGTAAAAAAAAATCAAGCTGAAATTCGACAGTTCTCACTTTTGTTCTTTCATAGGTTTCTTCAGCAGTAATTCTTTAATTCTTTGGAAGATCTGTTGTTTTAATTTAACGCTTAAAAGCTACAGTTCAGCTAGCTGAAATATATTCTTTGTTAAAGATCAATGTGTCTTGAAATTTGAAAATTCAAATCTGAGAGCACTTATGAAACATATTTCTCCATATGTTTGCATAGAATTGCAGTCATACATAAATAAAACAAGTATTTAACATGCCATAAGACTTCTTTTTTGGGGGAAATGTCACGGTTCTTGCAGTACAGAACATTTGTTATGTAGAAAATTAAAAGGCTTCTTAATAAGCCAAAATTCAGATTTTCTCAAATGGTGAAATTTGTAGCACAACAATGACTGTGTAAATGTTGGTAAATATTTTAAGTTATATAACATATATATTTCTGTATAGGGGGGAATCATTAAAACAAGCGAAGAAAAAAGAACTGTCAAAATCTGTACAATGCTTGTTAAAAATAAAATAGAAACATAATGTGATTGTCAGCCTAACCTAAAGCTTCAGGCAGCTCAGGCTTTCTAAGGCCCACTTGACTTCACAAAACAATATCGTGATAAATAACAATATCGTGATAAATATGTACAATATTCTTGCATTACCACGACAGGATTAAACTTCACAGTTGGCTAGTAGAAACTAATCCTTGGCTACCAAAACCAGTCATAATTTGTAGACCCTGATTTTAAGTAGTGGGCTCAGATCATACACTGAACTTTTTGAGATACCAAATATTTACTGAAATAATCGAGCCCTGCGGAGCCCCACAGTTGAGACTCCACGGGGCCAAGACAATCTCCCCAAGCTGAACTCTCTGGGTCGGTCCTCCAAGAAGGATCAGAGCCAGGCAAGGGCCAGCCCGCCAATTCCCAACTCGGAGAGCCTCCCCAGGAGGATACCATGGTCGACGGTATCAAAGGCGGCTGAGATATCGAGGAGGACCAACAAGGACAGTTTGCCCTTGTCAGCCTCCCCCAGCAGATCATCCAACAGTGCGACCAATGCCATTTCTGTGCCATGGCGCAGCCTGAAGCCCAACTGGAATGGATCCAGGGCATTGGTTTCATCCAAAAGAGCCTGAAGCTGGTCAGCCACCACCCTCTCGACCACTTTACTAAGGAAGAAACATTGGCAATGGGCCTATAATTGGCAATGTCACCCACCACCAAACTCGGTTTCTTCCTAATGTGCCTAATGAGTGTCTCCTGGGGAGACCCATTAATTATTGCTGTGGCCCATTCAATTGTTATAGGCCTGGCTGCTTTGATTAGCCAGGCCGGGCAAGGGTCAAGAGAGGAAGTGGTGAACGATGTGCCCAAGACCTTTATTGGTAATGTCAGTGTTGTCGGCCAAAATCAAGCAATTTGCACAGGGTTAATATTTGTATGATTGCATCTACTACGGTATTTGTATTCAGATATTAAAACACCCACGCACAATCAATAAAGATGTACCTATTTCGTACTTGCCCTCTATTTATTGTTTCCACTCATTCCAATAAGAATGCCTTTGCTAGTTCTGCTGCTGCGCCAACCATTAAATGCAAATGCTGTGACTGTAGTACATCTAGTTAAAACAATAACAACACCCTAGAAGAAGAAAAAACACTAAAGAAGACCTGATTGCACCAGTATCTGACTCAAGGAAGCAGTTATGACTACAGTGGTGCCTCGCGTTACGCCGTTAATTCGTTCCAGCGAAATTGCTGTAGAACGAAAACGTTGTAATGCGAAAATAAAAAACCCATTGAAACGCATTGAAACCCCTTCAATGTGTTCCAATGGGCTGGAAACTCACCGTCCAGTGAAGATCCTCCATAGGGCGGCCATTTTCGGTGGCTGTCTTGCGAGGAATCCGTCCCAGAAAATAGCGGGGAGCCATTTTATTTACTCAGTGGCCATTTTGAAACCGCCGATCAGCTGTTGGAAAATCATCGTTTTGTGAAGAATCGGTTCCCGAAGCAGGGAACCGATCATCGCAAAGCGAAAAAAGCCTATTCAAATCATCGCAAAAGCGATCGCAAAAATGTCGTCGTAATGCGGGGCAATCGTGAAGCGGGGCACGACTGTATTAAACGTATACTTGCACAGGAAAGTTCTGGGTTCAAATCGATTAAGCCATGGGTTATATCATCCCTCTTGACTTAGGAGTACTCTGTTAAACCTGCCTATAAAGTTAGACACCGGCTTATATTGTGTAAAGGGCTACATTCCATTTTACAGGATACCACCATTCGGCAGTTTTACAGCATTTTGTTTTCCCCCGTTTTGAAAAGTTGAACTGCATCTCTGAAGAAAGTAAGAGCTTTAGACTAAATATGCTAATTGTTTTAGGGCTTGTTTAGGGCTTCCAGGGCTTGGAATGGGCAGGAGCGGGCTAAATGCTGTTCCCTCTTTTGAGGCATGGGCTGGTGTCCTCCAGCAAAGAACTCACTCAGTCACCAACTTTGCGAGTGCACAAACCCATCCTTGCAGTAGGCCAAACAGCAGGCTAGAGGCCCATGTAGACAGCCTCTTAGTCTCCTACGGTTGCATTTTACACCACCACCATCACAGTAGCGTGACCTCTGCGAACATCTCCAAAACAAAACTTGGTACTTGCACTGGAAGAGGTCCCCACCTTTGAGACAAGAGTCTTTCATCACCACATCTCAAAAGAAAACTGCATGAGATCCTTTGTTTTGTGTAATTGTTTCTTCTTCTGGGATCTGAACATCATGTCTGGAGCTTACAAAGGTTGTCAACCTCCCGAGTGCTGGAAGCCAGGTTTTAGAACTCTGTAACTCATGTAAGTATATACTCAACTCCTAGGAGGAACAAGCTGTTTAAAAACAAAGCTTCTTTTATATTCTGAATTCCAAGTGATTTCTCTTCCTAGTAATAAACCTACTTTAATCTACTGCATTAATTGATTTCAGTCTCTGAGATTTCCCATATGATCCGATGCTATACACTGGACACATATGTTTTATGCTACTGAAAAACAAGATATTCTGGGTTAATTAGAAGAAGAAGAAAAGAACATTGGGTAACTCCTAATACCCAGGTGACTAAAAAGAAAGACTCTGAAATTGTGGTAACTGATTATGACTATTTGTGGGATTTAATTTTTTAATAGTGAAGTTGTCACAGGTACAATATTAGAGGACATTTTATAAAACATTTCAGTCCCAGATTTTCCATGTGAAACAAATGTTTGGTATCACACCACATAGCACTGCCACTTGGGATACAGATTCATGCAGAAATCCGTACAATTAATTGGACTGGTATCTACAGACATTTGAAATAAAAAAACCCTAAAGTTGTGGGCTGAAAGTGATAACCAAGGGTGTTCAGTAATTTTCTCATCTGAGTCTTTCTTGCAGTAGGTTGCTTCTAGGTATTTGTCTTGCCTGGTTAATTTGTTCTTTAATCATGTTGGATGGGCATTGTAAAATGCATTTTGGAGATCCTTGAGTTTGGAATCTCTGTCTTGTGGGTCTGACCTGATATACGTGTATTTGAACAACAGATTTAGTGATGTGTTCAGGATGGAAGCTGAAGGCATGCAGGTAGGTATATCAGTCAGTAGGTCTTCAACACAGTGTAATGCTAAGATGTCTATGTTGTAGCTTCACAGTGGTGTTAAGAAAATACATTTGTTGTGTGGATTGGTCCAGGCTATGGCTGATGATCAGATGAAAGTCATTGAAATCCTGATGGAATTTCTCTACATCTTCCTTTGCATGGGTCCAGTTTTTTAAAATGTCATAAATGTAGTTCAAATAGAGAAGTGGGTTTTGGGTACAACAGTTATGAAAATGTTGTTCTAGGTCAGCCATAAATATATTTACGTATTGTTAAGCCATGCAAGTGTCCATGGCCATTTTATTGATCTGGAGATAGGTTTTATTGTCTAAAATAAAATAGTTCTGTATGAGTTTGCAGAGGATGGTAACCTATTAAAATTGGCTTTCCTAAAATCCGGTGACACATGCAGCTACACTGTGCTTTTGTTTCCTTTGTAATAAAGAATTCAAGTGAAATATGGCCACTTTCCTCCAGAATTCCCCTTACTGCCACTTCTACCACCAAGTCATCTCTAGTGGTTAGAATCAAGTCAAGGATCGCTAATCATCTAGTTTCTTCTCTTCACTTTTTGTATTTATTTATATGCCACCTTCCTCCCACAACTGCGACTCAAGATGGCGTACAATATAAACTTGCATTTTTATAGCCTGATCTTAATTTTCTTTCTGTTTGGAAGTAGGCCTCATTGATTTTAGAGGGATTTACTTTCATGAACATTTGCTTAGAGCCTTAACCTGAAGTCTCAGGAGACTTGAAAATATGCCTTACCTTTTCACCGTGCGGAGTAAGGTGGAGCGAGCTTCATTGTGAAAGGTGATGATGATGCTTGTTGCTGGGAGGTCTGTACCATAGTGCACAGAGGCGCACCTGCAACACAGGAAAGGGAAAATGTTGACTAGAGACAGCGCACACCTAATTTCAATAAGACAGATTGCATGCCTAAATGTCTGGGGGAATTTGTTCAGGGAAATAAATGTTCCAAATCTGCTGCCAAGCTCTCAGAATCTCATGCACATATTTACCAAACAGCTGATAAATGCAAATTTTGGTCCCCTGCCAAAACCTTTCCCTTAGAACATCTTTTCTGTGAGAGTAATTCATCACACACTCATAGTGCTGACAGCAAGGTTTAGTATCTATTGGATTGGAACTGCCAGTAACTCCAGTTAATAAGCGTGTTGGTTTCAAAGCCGGGGGAGGGGGAGGGGAGGAAAAAGAGGATACCAACCTATATTTTGCGGAATCTGCTGCATGTTTTCTCTGGAAGTGTGGAAGGAGAAACAGGAGCAATCTATGCTGCTGTAAAATTAATTTATAACAGTTGCTTCCTTTGCTGGCCCAGCAGAAGCAGCTGAGGTGGTGGTGCAGTAGAGAGTGCCATATGGCTTGCTGGCAACCAAGGGAAGGCCCCGTGCTCTTACAGATAGGAGTAAAGAGTGCTAAATGTATAGAAGTGATGGACTAGCACTATCCAGGCTAGCCACACACCCCACACAGAGTTTGCTGTCATCACTGGCCTGTGAGCTTACATCCCTGCATACCGCTGAGGTTGCCAGCCTGACACTACTGTGGGCCCTGCCAGGAAGAGAATGCAGTTGCTTCCTCATTGCCACTTCAGTGATACATTGCTTGGCAAGTACAGCTAGGTGGATCAATGACCCTTCTTGACCTGAGAGGGAATAGTCCTCCATTTGATGGGCTGCCAGATGCAAATCTTTCTTTTGACTATGCCTTCCATTTGAGGGGCCAACCAGCTGAAGTCTGATTTATAGAAAAATAGTCATAAGGCAGGAGACCAGGAACCTTGAAGGTGCCCGGCCACAGCTAGTAAAACATGACAGAGACTTAGTAAGTACACAAAACACCTGGTTATTTAATTTATTAAATCTGTTTCTCATTTTGCATGAGTACATACTGTAGATATTAACTTACGTAACGTATGTGGTTCTATGCAAATCAGCGTCCTCTTTAGTGTATGCAAAGTGGCCATCCTTCCCTACCAAGAACCTAATTTTAAGTACACTCCCAACTACTGTATTAGAAAACATGAAAAGAAGGCTCGTGCAGTTCAGCTTATCAGTGCTTTCCAAGTCACTTTTAACAGAATCTCCGCTGGTTTCCTGGGTAAATAGGTAGTAGAAGGAAGCCTAGCAGAATGACCAAATAATGTTGGACAGAAATTATGGCCGCTGCCTGTAAATAGACCAGACTGAGCATCCAATGTCAAGAGTCTTCAGTATGTGGTCCCGACCGATATAAAAATTTCTCTCCTGGGAGAATTCTGTATTAAAGCTGAACATCCTTCATGTCAACAGTAAAGCAGAGCTTGGAATGAACTTGACAAGAAATCTGAGTCCAGAAATTAACCTCCTTCTGTGGTTGTTGGCTATTACAGAAAGAGATGCAGCAGTAAATATATGATTAATTAAATACGACTCCTATCTTCCTTAGAAAGTAGTCAAGAATAAATAAGATGGAACATGTTGTAGACTGGGAGAGGCACATTACTCTGCAACCATTCAATAAATCCTTGGAAGGGATGTGAATATATAAATCCCTGAAATAACTATGTTTGCTTGTTTCTTGTTTAGGCTTTGTCATTGTGGATATCACATTTAAATGATCTTAATCAGATTACAATTTAAAAACTGAAATCAAGTGTGTCTTTCAATAGATGCAAATGGCAGCTGAGGACTTATTTTCTTCTAAAAAAGTAAGTAAAATGAACATATATAGAGACAGTCTTGCCAGCATGATAGGAGATTATAATAGCAATAAACCTAATAATTCTACAGAGGCTCACACCATGAAGAAGGAAACCCCAGACAGTAAATAGTTTATCTTATACCTTTGCAGACTTCTGAACTAGAAAAAAAACAATATCCACAGACACTCTCACAGCTTGACCTCTAAGTCTATCTCACATGGTTGCTATGAGGATAAGTATAGGGGTGAGTGGGTGGGGGGGAAAGTAGAGCCATGTCCACCTTAGATATTATACTCGTCCCTTTGAGAAAAAGCAACAGCCACTTTGAGTCTTTTTAAGAAGAAAGGAAGGGGTAAAAATATTTTAAATAAATAAATTAAATGACACCCAGGAGTTACTTAGTTCCTATAATTTCCAGCAAAGCTACCTGATTAAAGATCTAAGGTGAAAGGAGAGCTCTCTTTTTTTACTTCTGCAATCCGAAGCAGTGACATTTCCACCGAGCAGCCTCGCCAGCTACTCTACAAACCAATCGACTCTTCCTCCCCCAGGAGGCTAATGAAAGACAACTCTAGACCTCTCCCAGCCCTGGGCACTTTGAACATCTGATGTGTCTATATTGCAGTGTGAGAACTCTGCATCTGTTTTTCTATTTTTAGCCATCTTACTTTGTATTTTATTAGTGATTCTTGCAGACCTCCTGAATTGGGAAGGCCCACCATAAAAGTGCAAGAATTGCTAAATAATACCTTTTCTTATTTTTCGTAGACCTCTTTTCATACCATTTCCGTTGTCCTACAGAAGCGCTGAGGCCAAAGACACAACACCACCTCTTCCCGTTCCTTATACAGAAGCTGATTGGATGGTAGACTATGTGCTGAATCATACTTCAACATGGAAGATGGCAGAGTGTCTTCCACCACCATAACTGAGGGCAACAGGCCTGCAGCACTCACGGGCACAAGACAAAATGTATGGCACAAAACATCTTAGTCCTTTGCTGCCACTCCCTCCTCTTCAGCTGCCAATGGAGAAGACAACCTCACTCTTCCTAACAGTATCCCGTCCCCTGAGGACATCATCGTTCTCTCTCCATAAACAAGAGCAGATCAGAAGCAACAGTAAACTAAAAAGGAGCCATCCCTTTTCTTATAGTAACTTTTAACACGTAACACGCATAGCTTCAATAGTCACTGTTGATCAAGAAGCAGAAAAGCAACTTATCCATACCTGTGCTCTCACATGAAAGTAAATCAATGGAGCAAAGCAATATCAAGGAAAGGACAAATGCAGTGCAGGTCTCAATGGAGTACATGGAGAAAACATCACATCATTTAAAATCTGTCCTCATCTGCTTCTACAGGCACCTCCTTGCTAAGGAAGTTCTGTGAGCAAGCTGTGAGTTTTCCATAATCACTGTTTATTTTACTTGGCTAAACTTACTTCTGATACAATTTGTTGGTAAGCAGAGTTACATTATTTAGCTTTACATTTTTTAAAAAATTATGCAAACTTTACAAAGGTACATCAAAAATATCATGTGTTTGACCAACTCATTCCTCCCACAGGGTAGTGTCCTGGCACCATTACTTTTTAACATTTACGCAAATAAACAACCAAGGTTCCCGTACTCCAGGAGTTTCATCTACGCTGGCAATCTTGCTTTGACCGTCCTTGGGGAAAACTTTGGGGCCGTTAAGTACCAGCTAATCTCTGCATTAGAAGATCTTTCCTTATATTAGAAAAACAACCAGCTGAAATCAAACCCTTTAAAAACACAAGTCTGTGCTTTCCACTGAACAGAGAAACAGAGAGGAAGCTCCAAGTCAGCTGGGAAAGCAAGATTTTAGAATACAGTACTGCCCTACTGCAAAGGATCTGGGCACCACTCTGGATCAAACCCTGACCGACAAAAACATTGTCTAAACACCAAACAGAAAGGAAACTGGCTCAGTCAGACTGGGATGTACACTCACTAACAATGAAAACCAAGCTTTGTCCCTGTGCTACTCCATAGCAGAATATGCTAGTGCCTTAAGGTATAAATTAGCACATGCCAAACAAGTGGATGTAGCTCTTAATAAATCATGCAGAATTATTACTGGCTACCTGAAACCTATCCTCTCTGAAAAGGTTTAGTTGGCTGGCATGTCCCTTCTGGAAGTACCTTTGAGAGATGCTAGCAAATAATGAATGAACAACTTAATACAGCACCAAAACCCATCCGCTGCATGGGCAACCCCCCCCCCCCCANAAAGACAATAACTAAAATCAAGGAGAAGATTTCTGCATACCTCTCAAGCATTAAATATTAAGCATGAAGACGCAAAGCTAAACCTATTGAGAGCAAAAAACAACAGACCTCCCCTAAAGGATGAATGCTGAAGTGTGTTGACTACCAGAACAAAACTCTAGCTAGACTACCTGGAGATTACTTAATAGACTGCCAAGTAAAATAGGAAGATCAAAAATAATCCAGTAAAATGAGACTACTGGGATACAGGACAAATTTTCTGTGACTGGAGAAATTCAACCAATGCAATACAGTACTTGCATGCATGCAATTTATACCTCACCACATGTACAAAAGAAGATCTAGCAAATGGCCAAGATGATACTATTGAAGTAGACTGTTTCTGGTCAAAAATTATCTTAACATTTTAATTTATTCTAATTTTACCTAGATTTCATATACATCCATAAATTTAAATTGTGCAATGCTCTAATACAAATAAAGAAGTATTTAGTAACATGGCACATGTAGCTACAACTATTTCTTCACAGGATATTCACACTTAGAATCAGAAAAGAATATACAAAACAAAACACATTACAGACAAGGATGGGGGATCCTAAGTAGAGATGAGACTTTGAAAGCAGCAAGACCAATGCTCTTTCCACATGGCCAAATTTACAAATAATCTTCAAACTTGGTGGCAATCAGTCAAACAAAAGAGGTCCTCTGGTGATGCCGGCCACAAGGCGAAGGAAGAACAACCTTCAGAACACAGCCAAAGAGCCTGAAAAACCCACAACAACCAAAAGAGGCATATTCAGCTTTATTTACTATTGTTGTCTCATTCTTTCTAGTTATCATTAGGCCCATTTAGACCAACAGCTGCTCTTAGCATCACTTGAGACACCAGGTAGGAATCTAAGA